CCCCCGCTCACCCAGCGCCGCACACCACAGCTACGGTGCCGACGCCTGACCCGAATGGAAGGCGGGGGGAGAACCAAACCAGGCTGGGGACATTGCAAAACTAAAAATAAAAATAAGGCTGGCTCTCAGCCTCTGCTTGAAGCTATCCGGCTTGCAGTGGGCGAGCGAACCTTGCACGTCAGCTGGAAGCACCCGCTGAACGGGGTCGCCTGCTTTTGTCCCCTGCCTAGCAGAACTCGGGCGCGCTGTCGAAATCCCCCGCTACGAGCAAGCGGCCGCAGCAGGGCACAGTCCTGCCCTGGGTAGGGAGAGAGAGAGAGAGAAATAATTAGCAGCGGCACCAATATGTGCCTCTTCCCGGAGGAGATGGCCTGGCACGGTCTCCTTCACAAAGAGCAGCGGTGCCCTGGATGTCGGGAGGCGAGAGCAGCCAACGCCGGCATCAAGAGCGGAGCCGCGGCTGGAGAGAGCTTCCCCTCCTCCATCCCGAACAAGGGCCCGGGCTGCATCTCTGAATGCATCTTGGTGTAAAGCCCCGACTGTGTCCCCTTTTCATCTGAAAAGTTCAAAGGGATGCGAGTTTTTACTGCCCCGGATTCATTCCCATGCAATGAGCCGAGGCAGAGCAGCCCCGGGGCAGCTAACAGGAGGATGCCGGAGAAATGCAAAGCTATGGCAAGGCGGGAGCCAGAAGACTGTGAGGATTGCGAATGCCCAAACAACCGCGCACCCCCCCCGCTGTGAACTACAGCCTTCTGGCCTGGGAATGCCGGTAACGGGATGGGCCAGCCCTCCGAGGGAGCGCGGCGAGCGGGCAAAGTGCGGGAAAAGACGGCAGCTGCGCGGCCATTGCTTTTCCATTGCATGGCCCAGGGTGCTGCGGGGGAATGAGGGGCTGGAGAGGGCACGGCCATCCTCTTCATCACCTCTTCTTCATCTTCTTCGCCAGATTTCAGGGCTTCAAAGTCACAAAACTGCATTCCCGGGGTGGAGGAGGGATCTGAAACCCCAAGCACGCTTCGTAAGGTGAAGGGGACACCTCGAGCCCCCGGTGAGGTTTGGGCTCTGCCTCCTCACCACACTGTAGGGCATCCAGGATCAGCACTTTGCGGGCAAAATTTCCACCCGCCCTTACCCCCAGAGGAGGATTTTTGCTCGCCTGCGGTGGCACGTTGAAGCCTCCAGCCCAGTGGCATGGCTAGGAATTAGGGTCATGTTTGCTCCAAATCACAGCTATTCAGGAATTACACCCTGCCCCATTCCCAGGCGCTTGAAGCGGAGCGGGTTGTGCTCATGGCACATAATACGCTCCTTTAGCTGCAGGGCTCCGATGCCAGCGTCTCGCTGCAAGAGAAGGGACAACGCTTGGAAAAAGACTTTGGTGCCAGCAACGGACAATGGGAAAACCTGAATAAAAGACCCTGAACACAGCGTTCCTGCTGGATCCTGTGATTTCTAAGCTGCCGTTGGTGCGAGGAAGTCGCCATAGCTTTGTCCACAGGAGAGGTGGCTTTTATTTCGGGCCTGCCAGAACCCTCCGTAGCCTCCGCACCTTCATAGAATCATAGAATCATAGAGTCACTTTGGTTGGAAAAGCCCTCTAAGATCATCAAGTCCAACCATTAACCTAACTCTGCCATCCCACCACTAAACCCTGGCCCTTCCCTAAGCACCTCATCTATCCTTCTTTTAAATACCTCCAAGGATGGGGACTCTACCACCTCCCTGGGCAGCCCATTCCAGAGCCGGACAACCCTTTCAGTGAAGAAGTTTCTCCTAATGTCTAGCCTAAACCTGCCCCGGCAAGGGCAAGTCTACCGCATCAAGAAGAGGTGGCGCTCATCCACCCCCCAGTTGGGGAGCGCGCAGCACCAGGGCGTTTCTGGCAGTGGAAATGGTGATGAGCCAGCCCGTTTGTCCGGTAGGGAAGTGGATGGGAGAGGGAAGGATATTGCCTCTTGCACAGCAGGGAAAGGTGGTCTAACATGACCTCAAACTGACCAAGCCGGTGGCCACTGGGGCATCCTGTTGTCCCCAGTGGAAGAGCTGGTGGACCACCGAGGGCACAGGCTCCTGCCTCTGCTTTGACTTGTGCAGAGCAGGGATGAAAATGGAGCTGCCTCGCCTCCGGCTTCGTATCTCGCTCTCTATCTGTAGCTAGGGGAAAGAAATGAGGCAGCTTCCCACGTGCCGGGGAAAGAGGACAGTTGGCCCATCGGCCAGCCCTGGGAATGGCCCCCAAAGGCACGCACTGGTGAGCTATGTCCCCTGCGACGCTTTGGGCTCCTCCTGCTTTTGCACCCTGCAGCGCGAGCATGACCGTCCCCTGCCCACCAGTTCATCCCAGCATCTGCGGCGCATGTCCAGCTGGGCTGTGCCCGTGTCTGCGCGTGCGTGCGTGCACCCTGCCGTGGGATGCACGGCCCCGGCCCCTCTGTGCGCAGGGGCTCGGGGGACCACGAGCCTCAGGTTCCCGTGCGGGTCCTGCAAGGGCCAGGGGGGCTGCAGGGAGGCGAGGAAAAGGCTGGAGAAACTGGTGAGAGATCAGCAGCGGTGGCCAAGCAGCCTCGAGAAGGCTGGAGCAGGGCCAGGAGAGGCCAGGGGAGGCAGTGGGTACCAGGGGGATGCTCAGTGCAATGCGACGGGGAGGGCTGGCAGAGGCTGAAGGGTCCAGGGGGGGTGCGGAGGCTGGGGGCTGTGCAATGATGTGACCCTCTCGTCCTTTTTCTGCTCCTCATTAGAGTCCCCTGAGCGGAGCAGGCTGTGAAGGGGGTCTGCGCTGAGGTATGTCCGTATGGCTTCTGCCAGGATATCACAGCTTACGTGGGCGCCAGGGGACGCGACACGGGGGGCGGCTCCCAGCACGGGGAGCAGCGTGGGTGCCAGAGCCTCCGCAGGAGCCAGGGGGAAAATCCAGGGTGCCTCAGCCCCCGGAGGAGCTGAGAATTTGGGGTGCAGTCACTGGGGGTTGATTTAAGGCGAGAGATGCTCACGCACTGGGTTGCTGCTACCTTTGCCCCTTCTTCCCTTACGACCCGTGCCAACCGTTCCCGGCGTTGCATGGAGCCTTCCCCTGCGGAGACCGTCCTCGCACCCCGGGGCTGCTGGTCTGCCAAAGCTGTGCCAGGGTGACTCGGGGACGCCTGTGTCCAAGAGCCCCAAACTGGTGGCAGGAGGGAGGGACGTGCTGAGCTCCCAGCACGGTGTGGATGACTCCGGTTTGCTTCTTCCCAGGGCTGAGGCAGCGCCAGCGGGTCTGTCCTTTTTGGGAAGGAGGGGATCACACGTGCCAGCGTGTCTCCGGTGGGAAGGGGCATGCCCTGAACGGGTGAAAGCCCCGTATGGCTCAGTCCCCAGAGCTCCTCAGTGTCGCCCTCCGTCAGTCTGCGGGGCTGTTTGTCAGCAGCGCGGTGGAGCCAGCTCCTGGGTGGGGAGGGGGAGAGGACTTTGGTGAACCAGGAGGGACGTCTGCAAGTCAGAGCAGCCTCAAGGTCATGAGCATCATCCCCCCTTTCATCCCAGCATCTGCAGCAGGCTCGGTCTGCCAGCGGGTGCTTGTGTGTCCCAGGCAGTGGCGAGGGGCTATGTCGTGCCCCCCCATTGGGGTAGGTGGCAAGGAATGGCTTGGGCCTGGGATGGCTCTCGGAGGGACGCTCACCTCCGCAGGGAAATGCCAGGTTTCAGCCTCTGAAGACTTGTGGCAGGTACTCCCTGCATAAAGAAAGATGAGGAACTCCTAGAAAGAGTCCAGAGGAGAGCAACAAGGATGATGGGGGGACCTGAGCATCTCCCCTAGGAGGAAAGGCTGAGGGAGCTGGGCTTGTTCAGCCTGGAGAAGAGAAGGCTGAGAGGGGATCTCATC